AAACCAGTGACAGATCAAAAAATATATAAAAATCATCTAATACATTATGATAGAAACGAATAATGTTTAATAACATTCTAACTTATGCTAACATTAATTATGACATAATATAAATGCGCATTTTTATTGATTTTTTATATATATTCTTAGTATTATAATTAAAAGAAACTTGTTTACACAATCGATTTTAAATCTTCTTTGAGACTTAATCAAGTTTATTAAAGATTATTCATTTCCCAGACCCAAAGTAAGATCCAAGTATCTAATTTATTTGTATTCTAAATCTTTAACAACGTAACAACATCCAAACTAGACAAAATATAGAAACAATAATTTCCTAAATCGACCCGACCGAGAATCGAACCCGAGGCCGCAGAGATGGCAAAGTTCCCTGCAATCCACATGCGAGTCACTCTATCATCCCTGGCCTCCCGATCACCAGATATATATATCTCAGTACAATTTACAATAAAAATTTACTTAAATAATGCCGGAAAAATCAAAACAATTAATACAAAATAATTTACCGTTTTAAATGAACAGAGTAAAAAGTGAATTCGTTTAAAACCTTACATAATATAGTAGCTTTTATCAAAGCGGATATCTGCATTAATTGGATATCAAGTGTATTAATGAGATGTATACACAGCTGTATTTAGATCAATAAGTCGGCAAGAATCTTTATAATTAGCAGCATGACCAATTACACCGCCTAATGACGCAAACGCTATGATATAATGAACTGCAATTGAGCAAATACACATTAAGGCTTTTGTTTAATTTCTCATATGATTTTCGTTATTTCTGTTTTTACATAACAGCACCATGAATCACCGTTTTTGTGAATTATATTATTTTTTTTAAGAACTCCGTCAATTGAATATCGTTGAACAATATTTAAGTAGTTTTAAATATCTATGTTTCGTGGATAATGACATATTCCACGAATAATAGAATTCAATTGTCTAATTACATGTTGTATGACTGTTCAATATTGAATTCAAAACTAACGAGCTTTCCGCGAGCGGATACGCCCGCGTGACTCTTACCGCGCGATTTTTATTTTATATATGTTTTTATTTGAAGGGATAATACACAGCTCACTACAAACTAATACTACAATTTTTAATTACAATCTATAGGCCAATTACGGCTATCCAACAGATTACAATAATATTTATCAAGCAAACAGACAAGTTTTTCATTTAAATAAAAAACTATAATATTCAAATTGACTCAAGGCAAAGCGTTTGATTGTTAATTTGTTAAAATAATAGAATAAATAGGTACGTATTTTATATGTTTATACATTTTTGCATTTATAGTTAAATAACTACATTTTTTAAGTTATATAGTAAACAAGGTAGGTAAAAAAATGGATAAATAAATAAATGAATGTACCCTACACATACTTTTGTGACAAAAAAAAATGTTATTGCGAAACAATCTACTCACTTTCCGTCAAACAATAACTGACTCTGTATAGGAATTGTTTTTTAACTATCATGGATATAAATCTTCCTCGTGAAACAACATTATATAACTTTAACATTATATATTTATGTTATGCGAAGGACCAACGCATTTTTTTTTTATTAAATAAAATCAAAATATTTATGTTACGCGAAGGACCAACGCATTTATTTTTAATGTGATAAAATAAAAATACGTAGTCTAAACAAAAACCGTCTAAATATGAAACGAAGAGGAAAGTGTATACTTGTTATAAACCACTGGCCGCCTAAAACTTGGCAAAGCTAACAGATAAAGTGAAATTGACACGTGTTGATTTATTTTGCTATATAATAGTTTAATCCTTTTTTGTCGTAGAGGGAACACTTTATGCACTATCCCTGCCGCTTGACAGGTGACAGAGGACGCGTGGCACTCTTCATCCGCACGGACCCGTCCCGAAGGCTAATCAAAACGTGGATGGCATTGCCACTGTTACCCCTTCCGATGCACCCTCACTTTTGAGGGAAGGATGTGGGATCCAGCAGTGACTGCTACACACTCAATTCTCGTTTTGTAATAAGAAAGAAAAGTTAAAATAATAGGAAGCAACACCTTTATCAATTTTTGTATCAAAATAATTATAGTTAAAAATTGAGTCTGGTTATGGTTTCTATATCTACAAAAGCACACTATTGACTAACTATCAAGTTCAGTAAAGTAGGTACAGGACAGGGTTGCCATCTTTTTCTTAGAAATATCTATTAATATGAAATAGTATAGTTTTTTTTTTAATATTTGATAATTTTTTCTGGAATATATTCTTAATGAAAAATGCTTAAAATCTATTCTGTCTCTGGTATATTGTTTTTTTTTATACAATTCTTTTCAAAGTTTTAAGTTCAAAGATTTATTTTCAAGTGGACTAAAATAATAAATACGCATTTTCACAATAACAAAAAAATTAAAATAGAAGAATGTTTCTTTATACGCATTATGTATACGCATTAGTACTAAGTTGTTTAAGCGACAACCCTAGTATATTATGCCGTGCAATCCATCACAGACGGCGTTCAATTTTTATTACCATTTGATTGTAGTATATTTTTATTAAAAACAGCTGTACTAACTGCAATAGAACATGCCTATTTCAATAACTGATTCTTTTTTTAAATTTTATATGCTACCTTATACTCGTCCACTTTATCAAAAAGTCTTAACATTTACCAGAACTTTTGTAAATAGCAACCAACTGGTCAAACAGAAACCGATGCGCTCTGAATTTAACTACGTAAGTGTTTCAAGGTGAGCTTAATACGATAAATTTGCATGTTCTCATTTATATTTTTGCAGCATTATTGTAATTGAGAAATGAAAACCAATTTGGATATTCACATTTCCAAATATAAAAGACTAATTTATGAAAATTGACGTAAATTATGTCGCTTAAATTCTTGATTTTTAAACAAAAACATCTGGTATCTACAACTCGCTTAAAATGATAAGTTTAACTATCATCATAAAAAACATAATATGTTGATCAATTCAACTAACTCGTACCTACCAGAGAACGTTTAAAACACGTTTCTTACACATAAAATCAGTCTATATAAGGTAACTTGCACTATATAAATATTAGTCAAGCCCTAAAACGCTTCCTTAACAAGGACGAACATGATTCAGCACGAGGCACAATCTAATATCACGACTTATTAGCGGACAAACGCAATGGTCGCGCTGCATTACACCATGAAACAGACCACCGTGGCGACCATTTTTTGTCCTATGTAAAAGGTCCATTGATATCACCGCCCACGACGACGGCGGAACAACCCCTACTAGTGAAAAGAAATTCATAACACCATCGCTAATCAGTTTAAAAAGTAAAACAACCGTAAAAAGTTCCGTTATCTTTCATTTTATAAATAGATTCAGTTATTTAGTTTATGGTGCTTTGTATTTAATTCTTTTTACTTTAATTTTAAAAGTGTTGATAAAAGAAACATTGACCGTAGATTAATTAATTGAACATAAAAAAAATATAATTTATGTGAAGTCTGTATTATTTTTACGCTTGATAATTTATATGAAATAAAAAGGGTCTTTATTATTTTTACGCTTGAAATTCCAATGCATGTTATTACGAAAAGGTTTTAATTGAAGCTATCAAGCAAAACAATTCTAAATATTAGATAAATATATTTCTTTAGACTAATGAAAGATATGTAATTAAACATAAAAAAAGCGAACATTGATTTACTTAATTAATTTTAGTTCCTGTTTTAGGTATAAATCCTGTGTAATGTGTTTTCTTATAATCTTTCATCACCAAACACTGTTATGAATGTACAAAAACAAAAAAAACTCAACGGCTATATCAAAAATTAATAAATATAACAAAATATGTTTATTAAAAACTGGCTGTTTTCATGCGACTTCGCTCACATTAATTATGGCCTATGTCAGCCGCGTATGAGCTTCCCGTAGGTGAAAGAATTTTAAAACTCGCTCCAGTGCTTAAATATTATACTTTTTACTTAACTATGCATCTAAAGACAACAAGCAGATAGTAATATTAGTGATATTCAAATTTTATTACAAACTGAAAAAAAACAGCATTGTATTTAAACTCTTTTTACTACCTTTATTTGCTTTTAGTATTGTGAGATATTCTTTTTTTCTTATTTCTCTCTTACTCCAGATCTGTTTTTATTAATGATTATGTAAGAATTTAGGCATTTTTTAAAGTCTAAAAATATGTTATCTGTGAAATTATACTTTTGTATCAAATTTGAAACAATAATTTAGGTCAAGAAATAATAGTCAATAAAACGAGTTATTTTCATATAATAATTATTCCATTTAATCTTCCTGTCGACTTAATTACAACAAAACAATATTTACAATAATAAGTAGTGGTCTATAAAAATAACAATAAAAATTAAATCCTAATATTCTTAGCTACAATAAATAACATTTTAAAATGTAGGTACAACTTTCTAATATACATTGTAATATCTACAACATTAAATTTATTATGTTCAGAGAAAAGCATATTTACAATCATTTACCTACTTAACGAAAGCAATATTTTTTTTTATTTAGGACTTATAATTTTCTACTGTAAACCATTAAAATTGATTCCTATCAAAATTTTAAATGCGACGGAATGCCTATTTTTAATAAATATCCAAATTACATAATTACCTAATTATATTAACTACTGTACCTACAAGTGAGATCTCTATAAATATAGTTAAACATTCTACATAGAAATGAATCACCTGAGGAAATGTATCTAACCTGTCATTAATTCAGTTCGTTTCAGTCATTAATGGTCTCTAAAAACAATGTTATGTAAATGCAATTGACATAAAATGCTGTATCATATTTGGTATTCGACGGCATTTTAAATATGTAGATTTTGTAAGTGAAACCTCGTACGGGTGTCACTGTAATTGACATCCTCATCATAAAAGTTTTATTTATTACAGCGGTTGTACTTACAATCTAACATTGCACGAGTGTGTAGAGCAGTGCGCGTTATGTCACGCTACTGAGAGCGGGTGCGGTATGTAACATGGACGAAGCGCGTGTGCTGCAGCCAGTAACTCAGCGTGGTACCGCTGTGCCGCCATCACGTACGGTGGTAGAGTCATAGCCATCACCGGCTGCGGGGGCGACGGCGGTGACCGCGGTGGTTCAGGTTCTAACAACGCCTCAATAGTAAACGCCCGCCTAGGACGCTCTCGGACCAGCATCGTCATCCCACCGACCTCCGGCAACTCTGCAGGCTCTGGACTCAGCTGAGGGCACATAGTCGGCGTGTATAGACTAGCACTCGGTATCGCCGGCGGCGGCGGCGCTCCCGCCTGGCGAGCCAGAAAAGCTCTATTGAAACTCGCTAGAGCAGCCAACTCCGCACTCAGATTATCCTTCTCTCCTTTCTGTAGCTTGAAACGCTTACGGCGTCGCAACAGTGATCCATTTTCGAACATGTCAAAAGCCTGCGGATGCAGAGTCCAGTATGCGCCTTTGCCCGGTCTGTCCGGTCGCCGCGGCACCTTCACGAAACAGTCGTTGAAAGACAAATTGTGCCTTAGCGAGTTCTGCCAGCGTTGTGTGTTCCGTCTGTAATACGGGAAACGATCCGTGATGAACCGGTAAATCTCTGACAACGGCAACATGCGCTCCGGAGAACTCCATATCGCCATCGCCGTTAACGAGATGTACGAGTATGGCGGCTTCTGATCACCATAAGATTCACGCGATGGCCGCGGCATTTTCACTTCCACCAGAGATGGACAAAATGTTCTCAAAGTCAATAAAAACAAAACCACTTATACGTGCGCACGTCACTTCAATAAGAGATGTGGAGAACAACTGAGGCGAAGAGAGCCTGTAGCCCTGTGTCGGCCCGCCCGTCGGTCACCGCCGCCTCCCTTCACCTCGCTCACCCCCTCTGCACCCATTGGCTCGCCTCTCACCCAATCAGAGACCTCGACATTCAAGTATAATGTCGGCTTTCGGTCCACTAACAAGGAATTTAAATTGATATTATGTTTATATTGCCTCCAAATATCTTTTGTGATGACACCGCTTTTTATTTAGCGTATGTAAATTACGATGATACAGAAAAAGAGATTTGAATTATACACCGATTCGACGATGAATGAGTGTTATTAAAATTCTCAGCATTGTAATTTAATCGGCAAGATGAAACAGTACCAGGGTGAGCGGGTGGTGTATATTAACGTAAGTGAATTTTAAATTATAAATGAGCTGCTCACACAACGTTATAGCTAATTTATCGCAAAAAAAAATACAATAAAAATATGGGTTACATTTACGAAAGTGTTTTGAATGTGCAATATTTCTTATGAATTTTGAAATACCGATCTACAATCAAAATTATAAAAAGATAACTCAAATATCATTATTTTAGCTATCATGACTCAAATAACCCCATTGGGTGGTTCAATAGAGCTTTTAAGGGGTTTTAAGCATTTAAGGGGTATAATAAACCAAGTGTCTTTTTATAAGAAAGTCAATTTTATATATGAGTTAACAAGAGATTTACAAAAGATTTTGATCCTATTCACGGGAAAATAAATAAACGACTAACTTGAAAACAATACTCTCATTTCTTCTATTGGGTATTATTGTTATTTTGTGCATTTCTTCTATTTCTCATTTCTTCTTTTGGGTATATGCAGAGTTAAACAAACACTCGTAGCAATAAAAATAGAAATAAAATAATTTTTTTTTTATTTTTAGAAATAAATTTGAGTACATGCACAATGACGACAATATAGAATCTTCATTTGAATTCTGTACCATTTTATTTTCTTTTTGGTATCTATCTATAAATATTGGAAAGAATCAAAAATAAATCGTTAGTTGTTTTTTTTAATACAATTATCATTCGTAATATATTTAGATAAGTATAACTAAGCTTATGTGAGTAATACTCGTACCTATGCAAGTTTGCCTAGGTATATTTATTTCAAATATCTTAATCTTTACCTATTAAATATCTGCAAAGCCACAAATATTACTAAAATATAATATACCCACTCAATAATAAAACGACACACTACACAACCCGTTTTAGAGATATTTCATTAAATTAATATCATTATGTTTATTAACTTTAATCCAACGAAATAGCTATATCGCACTAGCAAATTTATTTATCATCATTAAACAATCAGAAACAATTAAATTAATGACTCGAATATTTTAATTGCAAAAAAATCAAACACATTATTTTAACTAGTTCTATTTAATCATCAACAAAATACCAATGTCGTCAATAATTAACACTACCTATTTAATTAGATGCAGTTAGTTATAGCACAAGTATTTAATCCTTATTTATGTTAAACACCTAGGTATTTCTTTAATAATAAAATAAATTTCTTCTAGTAGGTACATCTGTCTTGCTGTCTACATTCCAATAACTGCTAGGAATTATCTCATATATTCTCAGGAAACTCTAGCGGTCTAAATCAGTGCCTGCATGGTAATAGTACTCTTATATCAAAATTCACTATTACAGATAACTAGAGGCTACCAAAATAATCATTTACAGAATACAAATATATCCTCATACCATAAACAATAATTTATATAAAGCGAACTTAATATTTTACATTATATATGTCACCTATATGACAGAAATTATACAAATTAAAATCATATTAAACGAAGCAAGAAAATTAGAGAGATATACGGTCAGTTGCACAAACGTCCATTAAGGTTTAATGACGTCTTTAAGCTCTAATGAATGTCAAATTTGTATAGGTAATGTCGCTTTTAACTAATGAAAAAGTTAATGGACTTTTGTGCAACTGGCTGTTAATTTATTGTAATGAAAATAAATACTATACCTACCGTTGTATATAAATACTATACCTCTACCTTTTTTTCAAAAATCACATATTTTTTAATCTCAATGTAAAGTTTAAAATGTTTGCAAGAAAATTTGAATAAGACAAAACACAAAACGACAACACAATTTTTTTTTTTCATATTTGAATTCCCAGTTTTATCTCCAAACACAACACTACAAGGAAAGCTAAAATTACAAAATTAAACACATAAGTAATTATAATATGAACTTAGATAGTATTCATGTGAAAATAAACATCAAGATTCAAAAATAACTCTCCAACCAACGGGCAAATAAAACACACTTCGTAGGCACGTCAATCATTTTCTAATTCGTGCGACGATTTCTACAGAGAATCGCGCAAAATAAATACAAAACTGAATCTAATATTTAACCAGAGGAAAGTGGACATTGCGGCGAATCATCGATTTTAGGAAATGAAAAAAAAAGCTTTCTCAACGGTCACGACTGTAAATTTTTTTGACGTTGACACTGTGGTACCGTTCGTTAGGCGGTAAATACTTACCTCGGAGATGGGCGAACCGTGTAAAAACTGAAGTTTCTCAGGAAACTCTAGCGTTGTAAATAAATACTTACCTACTCCTAAATAATCGTAACCGTTGTCGATACCGCTCTCTAAACTAAAACATTAAAATTTTTTTATTTGGAATTCTTTTCACATTATTTTGCGCCGCATTTTTTCAAGTTTTAAAATTTCTAAACTATAAGTATGGCCAATAACAGGTTTCCCTTATCATTACACTATGGCACTTAGTACATTAGTGTGTAAACATGACATTACAATAAAGTTTACATACCAATGCAATACATTGTTTACCAAAGTGATCTACTGATTTAATTTATTCTAACTAACCTCGTATTTAAATTTGCGTTTGATTTTTGAAAAAATATTATTTTTTCTTAAATATATGGTATATGTTCGAACGACATTACAATAAAGTTTACATACTAATGCAATACATTGTTTACCAAAGTGATCTACTGATTTAATTTATTCTAACTAACCTCTATAGCTAACCTCGTATTTGAATTTGCGTTTGATTTTTAAAAAAATATTATTTTTTCTAAAATATATGGTATGTGTTCGAGCGATTCGCGACAGAACAGAATTTTGTAAATATTTTGTTGCGTTTGATTTTTGAAAAAATATTATTTTTTCTTAAATATATGGTATATGTTCGAGCGACATTACAATAAAGTTTACATACTATTGCAATACAGTGTTTACCAAAGTGATCTACTGATTTAATTTATTCTAACTTACCTCTATAGCTAACCTCGTATTTAAATATACGTTTGATTTTTTTTAAAATATTATATTTTCTAAAATATATGGTATGTGTTCGAGCGATTCGCGACAGAACAGAATTTGTAAATATTTTGAGTGTTTGATTTTTGAAAATATATTATTTTTTCTTAAATATATGGTATATGTTCGAGCGACATTACAATAAAGTTTACATACTATTGCAATACAGTGTTTACCAAAGTGATCTACTGATTTAATTTATTCTAACTAACCTCGATAGCTAACCACGTATTTAAATTTGCATTTGATTTTTAAAAAAATATTATTTTTTTCTAAAATATATGGTATGTGTTCGAGCGATTCGCGACAGAACAGAATTTTGTAAATATTTGGTGCGTGACAGTGGTACATGAAAAAATGGTGAATTGCGGGTAAGATATTTGGGAGTACGAAAGGTTAATCCTAACAATAAGTATGGACAATCGACTCTACTATTAATTATGTAATACAGTAAACCCATATCCAAGACGACACGCCGCTGCTCCAAAGATAGCAAATTATATTCGGTAGAGTTATCTTTGTAACTTTCATGAGACTTTCGAGAGCGGAAGTTTAAGTGTTTCATAAAAAATATTGAATTCGCCCCAGTCGATTTATATTAAGTATTGTGGTGACCATAAAGGGCTAACATATTCTAGAACACTCCTGAAATATGCTAAATAAATGGTTTTAATCGCTGAGATTTGAGTTAAAGATTCACACACGCGAAGGACGAAACTCAGATTCTTATGTGCTTTACAGAGTATATAATCAATGTGATCGGAGAGTATCATTTTTTGATCAAAATGCATGCCCAGATCCCTAATGTTTTGCTTCCTATTTATTTGTGTTCCATTGAAATTGTAATTAACAACGGGCCTTGGTTTCCGTGTATATTTAATACATTCACATTTACTTGCGTTAATAGAGTTATATTGTTTAAAATGTAATACTCATATAACTTATTCAGATGTCTTTGTTATAATAAACAGTCTTGAGATCAACACTAGATCTTACAAAATATCTTTTTGTCATCCACGTACACATAAAACCGTCAAAGTGCTCCAAACACGTACCTATGTATGTAGGTATTTATTAATAAAGGCCCTAGATGAGAACCCTGAGGTACACCTGTAGATAAATCAATGTAGTCAGAGCGATAACTACCAATTACCACAGCTTGGGAGCGATTTGAGATATTTTTAGCGATTAGAGAATTTCATCCACCGTAGCAAATCTCCATAAATGCTAAGGCTCTATAATTTGTCAAGCAGGATCACGTGACCCAGACGATCAAAAGTCTTTTCAAAATCAGTGTAGATCACCTCCACGTTCCATATTTTCCAAAATGCTAAACATGCTAAGTTAGTGGTAGTAGAGCGTCCCCTCAAAAAACCACGTGCTGCTCGGGTATGGATCGAGACAGTGTGGAATAAATAGACTCGTAAACAATTTTTTCAAGAATCTTTGTTGTAGTATTTAACAGAAAATTGCCTCTATAGTTTGTAAGATCCATACGCGAACAGGCGTATTTCTTATGCACAGGCACTATGTGGGCTTATTTCCATTTTTGCGACGTA